GTAAAGCATGACAGTTTCTCCAACAAAAGTTTTTCGCTTACACTCACTGGAACATGACGTATTTTAGTAAGAAATCTCGCTCTAGGATGCGCCATTCAATCGTCTGTGGTGCGTAGTCGCAGTGGACAGTTGAAAGTCTGTCTTCCTTTGCTACGTCTTGGCAGCTTCTAATTTTGTGAATGGTTCCTGAGGTCACGACCCCCTCCTCTTTCGTCGGCAAATACGAAACCCTTGTTGTTTGTTCTGTGCGCGACGGGCGGTTGGCCCTGCTTCCCAGCCTGGGGCGAAAGATTTGTCATAACTCACCATTCTTGGAAAGAAGTCACATGGCGCACTAGTATGCCAAAAGCAGCAGTTAACAATGGGTTCAGTCAAAATTAGAACTACAGTTCTTTCTCAGAACGAGCTATTGATAGAAAAATTCTCTGTAAAGTTCTAGAATGGCTTGAGGTATCGATTCTGAATAACATTCAGCAATTGTTGAATGGTAGCTCTACAATGGACGACGTACCGCCTACGCAATTCAGGACATGGCACAACAAGTAAGCTAAAAAAAGGTCTTTCTTGCACACCTTTTTTGTGGAGGGGAAATTTTGCCTTCAATGATATTAGGACGGACTACGGATGTCAGTTTTGAACAATATTCAACAGTTACTGATGGTAGCACCACAACTGATCCTGTACCGTCAACGCAATTAACAAGTGAGCCAAGAATAATGCTTTTCTAACACTTTTCTTTGTTAATGGGAAAATCGCCTTCCATGAAATTTGAAGTTTGTTTTTTGAAGTTTGAATTTGCAGATGCCAGTCCTGCGCCACGTTCAACAATTACGAATGGCAGTTCCACAACTGATCCTGTACCGTCAACGCAATTAACAAGTAAGCCAAGAATAATGCTCTTTCTAACACTTTTCTTTGTTAATGGAAAATTCGCCTTCCATGAAATTTGAAGTTTGTTTTTTGAAGTTTGAATTTGCAGATGCCAGTCCTGCGCCACGTTCAAGAATTACGAATGGCAGTTCCACAATCAATCCTGTACGGTCAACGCAATTAACAAGTAAGCATGGAATAATGCCTCTTTCTAACACTTCTCTTTGTTAATGGAAAAGTCGCCTTCCATGAAAT